GACTCCCAGAGCAATGGGGACTTTTACCATTGATCTAAAGTCAACTTCCCATATGAGCCGCGATAGATAAGCCGATCTAAAATTTTCACCATAGCAGAGGAGCCATAAATGCCATATTCATTGCTACTTGTGTTTATATGCTATAGGACCTGTGAGTCCAACATGTGAATGTTATATGTGTTATACTGTGACCTGCGTGTCAACGATGTATGCCTATGAGATCATCATTTTTCCAGTATGATCGTTAATACACAAGACCTGTGTATGTCCATACTACAGTTTTCTTTCACGAAATGTTGAAAATACTCAATAAAAATATATCTACAAAAAAAAAAATAGAATGGGGCATTGCACCCAGACCACTTCATTGAGATTAAGTGGTCTGGGTGTCTATAGTGTCCCTTTGAACCCTCATAGATCGCAAGCTTGTGTGAACAGGACTGACTTCACTTTTAAATGTCCCCTTTCAACAATAGTAAAGAGCTGCAAAATATGTTCATAGTACATATATAATAATAATTACATTTATTTGAAAGATGCTAGCATGTAATCATTTGTAAAAAGAGTACATTGGTGTACATAATGATGTAAAGTGATACCTAAAATCTAATTATGTACAATGTTAATTTTTCATTTTTCAATATTATTATGTGTAACGGCACCCCGGGCATAACAGGGGTTAAACCGCCGTTTAATAGATCTCCCCTTTCCAGATATACAGGCAGCTACTGTAGACACCAATCCACCGAACAGGAGAAGTATATGAATGCTCCCAAACATACGAATGCTGTAGACAGCTGAATAGGAAAAACCATACGAATAGGTTTACGCTCCTAGCAGTCAAACTGGAACAGCATACAATAAATCCCCCCCAACAACGAGACAAGGCTCCGTTTTGAGGGTCAAGCAGGAACAGACAGAGCTGTGGGTTTATTCTTCTTATATACACATTATTACCATCCACAGGGTTTTGGAACACAACCAATAAACACATACAATACACTCAGACACTCCCACACAAAATCCTCCCGTCTGCCTGTGATACAATTACCTTACACAATGGATAATGTAATTATCACCGGCAGAGAAAAACAGTTTCTCCACATTATTCGTAACTTTAAAAGTATGCATCACATTCACATTTTCAGGATCAGCATACCCCAAATACAAACATATGTCAAAATCATCCAAATTGGTCCAGTGGTTCAAAAGATAGATCGTAGTCCTTTGTGATCAAAGGAAGCATGTCTTTTCTGCCCAAAACCAGTTACACAGAGTCTTTTATCCTGGAGATAATTGGGAAGTAATCCAATTATCTCCAAGGACAGAGGCAAAACTCCATTGAACACATGGCAGCAAAAGACAATAAAACACATAAAAATATATAACTGTGCAGCCATTGCACAAAACAGGTACATTGAACATATCCCCAGATAGCTCAGATCTGTGTGCACATTATTACTGAATGGTGCTCAGAGCACACACATACAGTTCAATTGCCATGGAGCCAAAGTCTTTCCCATAGTCTTTCATTATACTAATGGGGTCCATGGCATAGCTATCTGGGGTATCACTGCTCAAACAGGACAAGCACCAAATGACCCGGCTTTCATGTCTTTGCAGGGGAAAATCAAGCCTTTTAACATGGGGCCATAATCCAAAGGCAACAGGCGAGCAACCAGGCTTCTCCAATGCAATGTGGCGAGATTGGTCTCGTCACATCAATATTTACATTAAAAAGGCTGCAGGGACATGCAATAGACTCAACTACATTAAGCTATATTTGTTCTGGTGATAGTATCCCTTTAATGTTGAAACATGGCTAGAATAATTCTTATAAATTCAATGCAAAAACAAGAATAAAACAAATATTACAATTATAATATTAAAACAAGGTAACTTGCCTAATAGTTTGATGAATTTGATGTTTGAGCTAAAATAGCATAATTCTCACTGTATAGCAACTTGCTAGGAGCAAAAGAGTGGGGATATTTTTATAAATAATGAGAAATAAGAAGCTTTGTTGATTTTGTTGCAGTTGATCTAATAATGTTACTGGATTGGATTCATACCCTTGAAGAGATCCTAGAGTTTCTCAACAATTTTTTTTTCTATTTAATATTTTTGTTTTAATATAATCTTTTTGATTACACTTACTATTTATATTTCTTACAGGGAAGGGTGAATAGCAGTCAACCTGTATGTGTGAATTCTATAATAGTTAAATTATGCCAATGATAACGTAAGCTTTAATTTCTCACTATAAAGGAAATTTTATGTATGTGGTAACCACCTGTTTATGAAGTTCACTTCAACTGATACAATTATTCAAAACAACTTCCAAAGCATTATAGAAATTCACATCATACTCAGATGTTTAGTGATCTGCGTGAACTATACAAAATCAATCAGCAATTTATTTCTTGGGAAAGAAAACAGGATATAGTATGCATACATTATGAAAACAATAAAAATCTGGCAGGTTAATGTCTAACTTTAACAGAAACCTGGTTCTTACAACCTGAGGAACCCATGGAAGGTGGCTAGTGGCTAACCTTGGTTCCCACGTTCACATGGCAACCAAAAACATTCTGCACATAAACTGATTTTACAAGCTGTCTTTCTCTCCGTATTAATATACAATAAGTCACCTATTTTATCTATTAAGTATGGTCAGGAATGGGCAAGTTACTAATATGCCGCTATTGTGTGCACTTACAAGGAAATGTTTATTCTTTAAAGGACCACTCTAGGCACCCAGACCACTTCAGCTTAATGAAGTGGTCTGGGTGCCAGGTCCAGCTAGGGTTAACCCATTTTTTCATAAACATAGTTTCAGAGAAATTTTGTCGCATTAGCCTGAATTTTTCTATATGGTTAATGTCTGATAGGGAAGTAGCTGGCCATTTAGGTTCTTGATCCAGACACTCTCCCCGTGAGACCTTAACCCATCCTCCACACAAGAAGTTATACGCCACACGGGCCAAATCATAGTTAGCCACCTCGCTCGTTGCATAGAAAGGGCATGACTCTCTTGCTATCTTATGCTTAATGGTCACCAAGAGGCCGACCATGACGTTAGGTGGCAAACATTCCCCTCGTGCCAACACTTAGGTAGAGCCTCTGAAGCCGCTTAGCATCTCGTGAGGGCTCACCTGTAACCAATTAGTGAATCATTTCGCCACTTGGCACTAGCTAGTCTGCCAGTAACATCCCCGGTTCTAAGTGGTAGTGTTGCTGTTTTTCAGTATGTCTCAGGTTCCCTTTCCCAGCTAGGGCCAGGAAAGCGGAGCTATTCAGGCTCATGCGAGCCAACACGAATGATATAGATGCAGGTGAGGACACAATTAGCTCTAATGACTCCAAACTCCACACGATGATCGCCTCACTGGTGTCCTCCATGAGGCTAATCAACGATAGGCTTGAGAAACTGGAAGCAGTGTAGGTGGAAGTGGCGGTGGAGGAGGTAGCCAGCACTGTTTTTATTTTTTTCTAATTGGGGTAGCCCGCAAAATATTGAGACATACAAAAAATGAAAACTCTGTTCAGCAGAGCGACTGACCCATGCGTGCTGTAGCTGAAACTCCACTATCGCCTGCTGCTGCTCGCACAGTCTCATGAGGTGGTGAGCAGGAAGGTCAAAGTTACGCTGCAGCGTAGACAGGCAAGCAGCAGCAGGGTGAGAACGCCAAAAACGCTCACAGACAGACCGCACTTTCTGCAGCAGCTCTGATATATATGGGTAGTTTTTCAGGAATTTCTGCACCACCCAATTCAGCACATGCGCCAGGCAAGGGATGTGCGTCAAACCGGCTAGGCTCAGAGCTGCTACGAGATTTCGCCTATTATCGCACACCACCAGGCCGGGCTTGAGGCTCAGTGGCAACAACCACTCATCGGTCTGTTGTTCCATGCCCGTCCACAGCTCCTGCGCGGTGTGGGGTTTTTCCCCCAAACATATGAGTTTAAAAACCGCCTGCTGTGGTTTCCCTCTGGCTGTGCTGAAGTTGGTGGTGAAGGTGTTATGCTGACCAGATGAGGAGGTGATAGAGGAGGAGGAGGAGGAGGAGGAGGAAGAAGCTGAGTCGGAGGAGGAGACAAGAGGAGGCAAAGCTGTGTACCCAAATAAAGATTGTCAAACGTTGTATCCTGGAACTGTGTCCCATCCGGTTACTGAGGAAATGGGTCTGACCTATTCTAACCAAAGGGGATAACCATCAGTTACCCAGGTCCTGCTTCAATTGGTGGCAAGCGGCCACCTGCCATGTCCCTGCCAACAGACCCATGGACTACAGTGCTCTAAAGCGACCTACACTGCAGGACTTGTGTGGAGCCAGAGAAATAATGCCTGGTGGGCGTAACAAGGCCGAATTGACTGCTGCGCACATGGAGGACGACCAGTCATGAAGTGAGGCAACAAACCCCAGCCAGGAGCCGGAGATGAGGAGGAACTGAGCAAGGAGGTGTAATGGCGCCTGGCATATTACCAAGAGCCACCCTCAGAGGAGATTGTCAGCAGGACCTTTTTGGAGGTGCAAGCCTATGTTCTTGCCAATAGACAGAGGGCGACCTCCATGAACCCAGATGAAGGAAGAAGGGAGCAGAGGGCGCCGGGAAGCACAACCAACCTGTCCCACAAGCTACCATACAATGCCTTCAAAGACTTCAAGGAAGCATAAGAAGGCATCGATGACTTTTTACAAGACTTTGAGCGCCAGTGCCTACTCCAAGACGTGGATCCCAGCGACTGGGTCACCATCCTGGCCAGCAAACTAGTGGGGAAGGCAGCGGATATTTACTGGGCTGTACCAGAAGAGCAGATCAGAGACTATCACTTTATTACCCAAATCCTCCTGGCCCAGTATGCGGTCACCCCCGAGCAATACCACCGAAAGTTTAGAGAGACCCGGAAAGGGGAGAAGGACTCCCATGCGGAGTGGGCATGCCGCATCACAAGGTCCACCCAGAACTGGCTCAACTCCCATCAAGCCAAGTTCCCGGAGGAGATCACCCAGCTCGTCATGCTAAAGAACTTTTTCAATGGGCTCCCCAACGACAACGCGATGACGCATTCGGATGTCATCCATATCAACGTTCAGTGCCACTTTCTGCACCTACCATGGTGACCACAGGTAACGGGGAATCAGGGTTGATTCCGGAGAGGGAGCCTGAGAAACGGCTACCACATGCAAGGAAGGCAGCAGGTGCGCAAATGACCCACTCCCGACGCGGGATGGTACTGACGACAAATAACAATACAGGACTCTTTAGAGACCCTGTTATTGTAATGAGTCCACTTGAAATCCTTTAACTCTGATCAATTGGAGGGCAAGTCTTGTGCAGTGTGACTGACCCGTGTGTGCTGCAGCTGAAACTCCACTTTTGCCTACTGCTGCTCGCACACAGTCTCGTGAGTGGGAAGGCCGAAGTTATGCTGCAGCGCAGACAGGCGAGCAGCAGCAGGGTGAGAATGCCGAAAGCACGCACAGACAGCCCTCACTTTCTGCAGCAGCTCTGATATATCAGTATACACCGTGGCGGTGTAGGTGGTAGCAGCGGTGGAGGAGGAGGAGGTAGCCAACACTTTTTTTTTTGTTTTTTGTTTTTTATTGGGGTAGCCCCCAAAATATTGGGACATATAGAAAAAGAAAACAAAGAATAAGTGCTTCAATGTTAGACAAAGAAAGAAACGAGAAAATATGGAGTCTTTAATGACTGGTACCTCCCTGTGGGGGATGACCCCTGTATAAAGTAGAATAAAGAAAAAGAGAATTGGAGGTAACAGTACTAAATTGTTAAAATACCGGGGAATCACTTTGATGGTATGCTGGATAAAGAAATGTATGGAATAAAACATCACTTTTAATCTTGTAGCTAAAAAACCCTTAAATATAAGGGCTAGATATATATCTATTAATGATATATCTATTCATTATATTATAATTATAATAGATATACATCTAGCCCTTATATTTAAGGGTTTTTTAGCTACAAGATTAAAAGTGACGTTTTCCACTATCGCCTGCTGCTGCTCGCACAGTCTCTCCATCATGTGCAAGGTGGAGTTCCACCTTGTGGGCACGTCTAGTATGAGGCGGTGAGTGGGAAGGCCAAAGTTACACTGCAGCACAATCAGGCGAGCAGCAGCAGGGTGAGAACGCCAAAAGTGCGCACAAATGGCCCCCACTCTGCAGCAGCTTTTTGCACCAATTTACCCCTGGCTGTGCTGAAATTGGTGGTGAAGGTGTTACGCTGCCTGGATGAGGTGATGATAGAGGAATAGGAAGCGGAGTAGGAGGAGGCAACAACAGGCAAAGAGAAATGCCCTGCAATCCTCGGTGGCGGAAGGACATGCGCCAAACTGATATCCGCCTCAGGCCCAGCCGCCACTACATTTGCCCAGTGTGCAGTTAGGGAGATATAGCGTCCCTGCCCGTGCTTACTGGTCCACGTATCTGTGGTTATGTGGGCCTTGCCACAGATCGAGTTGCGCAGTGCACACCTGATTTTGTCCGCCAAGTGGTTGTGCAGGGAAGGGATGGCTCGCCTGGGATGGCTCATCTGGCTTTGAGCCATGTACTGTGGGACAGCCACCGCCATCAGGTTTTTAAAACTGTCAGTCTCCACCAGATGGAATGACAGCATTTCAAAGGCCAGGAATTTTGAAATGCTGGCATTCAGGGCCAGGGATGGCGGGTGGCTAGGGGGGGACTTCCTCTTTCTCTCCAGTGTTTGGGAGACAGACAGCTGAGCGCTTCCATGGGACAGTGTGGAGATGCATTGCTGCTACATCTTCTGTTTGCAGGGTGGCAGGTGCCACTGTGACTCCAGAGGTGGAGGAAGAGGCCGAGACAGCAGCAGAGGAGGAAGCATGTAGATGCCTGGTCATGCAAGTTGTGCTCAGGTACACCTGGGTAGAGGAGAACTTTGTCCATGTCCAGGTGCCTCACCACAGCTGTGTGGGTGACTGGTTAGCTGACTTGGTGGGTTGCTGAGTGGGCAGAAACCAGCGGTACTCTGCCCTGCTGCCAGCGCTATCACGGGAGTAGACTGGTTGAAGCAAGGTTGTCGGAGGGAGAGATGACTGTCTCCCCTTTGGTTACACCGCTCGGTTGCTGGAGGGGGAGACTGACTGTCTCCCCTTTGGCTAAACAGCCCTGTCGCTGGGGGGCAGAACCGACCGTCCCTACCCCCTGTGCTGTAAGTGCAGAGACCACGGTCCCATCTGCACAGTTGTGGGATTTACTGTCCCCCCGGTACGTTAAGCTGCCGCTGGGGAGAGGGGGTAACAAGCTCCTCTCCCATATATACTTCCAGCCACGGGGGAGAGAGAACGACTGTCTCTACTCCTAATACAGAGTCCTGCTGCTGGGGAAATGAGACTGGGCTCTCTACAGGGAGTGCAGAATTATTAGGCAAATGAGTATTTTGACCACATCATCCTCTTTATGCATGTTGTCTTACTCCAAGCTGTATAGGCTCGAAAGCCTACTACCAATTAAGCATATTAGGTGATGTGCATCTCTGTAATGAGAAGGGGTGTGGTCTAATGACATCAACACCCTATATCAGGTGTGCATAATTATTAGGCAACTTCCTTTCCTTTGGCAAAATGGGTCAAAAGAAGGACTTGACAGGCTCAGAAAAGTCAAAAATAGTGAGATATCTTGCAGAGGGATGCAGCACTCTTAAAATTGCAAAGCTTCTGAAGCGTGATCATCGAACAATCAAGCGTTTCATTCAAAATAGTCAACAGGGTCGCAAGAAGCGTGTGGAAAAACCAAGGCGCAAAATAACTGCCCATGAACTGAGAAAAGTCAAGCGTGCAGCTGCCACGATGCCACTTGCCACCAGTTTGGCCATATTTCAGAGCTGCAACATCACTGGAGTGCCCAAAAGCACAAGGTGTGCAATACTCAGAGACATGGCCAAGGTAAGAAAGGCTGAAAGACGACCACCACTGAACAAGACACACAAGCTGAAACGTCAAGACTGGGCCAAGAAATATCTCAAGACTGATTTTTCTAAGGTTTTATGGACTGATGAAATGAGAGTGAGTCTTGATGGGCCAGATGGATGGGCCCGTGGCTGGATTGGTAAAGGGCAGAGAGCTCCAGTCCGACTCAGACGCCAGCAAGGTGGAGGTGGAGTACTGGTTTGGGCTGGTATCATCAAAGATGAGCTTGTGGGGCCTTTTCGGGTTGAGGATGGAGTCAAGCTCAACTCCCAGTCCTACTGCCAGTTCCTGGAAGACACCTTCTTCAAGCAGTGGTACAGGAAGAAGTCTGCATCCTTCAAGAAAAACATGATTTTCATGCAGGACAATGCTCCATCACACGCGTCCAAGTACTCCACAGCGTGGCTGGCAAGAAAGGGTATAAAAGAAGAAAATCTAATGACATGGCCTCCTTGTTCACCTGATCTGAACCCCATTGAGAACCTGTGGTCCATCATCAAATGTGAGATTTACAAGGAGGGAAAACAGTACACCTCTCTGAACAGTGTCTGGGAGGCTGTGGTTGCTGCTGCACGCAATGTTGATGGTGAACAGATTAAAACACTGACAGAATCCATGGATGGCAGGCTTTTGAGTGTCCTTGCAAAGAAAGGTGGCTATATTGGTCACTGATTTGTTTTTGTTTTGTTTTTGAATGTCAGAAATGTATATTTGTGAATGTTGAGATGTTATATTGGTTTCACTGGTAATAATAAATAATTGAAATGGGTATATATTTGTTTTTTGTTAAGTTGCCTAATAATTATGCACAGTAATAGTCACCTGCACACACAGATATCCCCCTAACATAGCTAAAACTAAAAACAAACTAAAACTACTTCCAAAAATATTCAGCTTTGATATTAATGAGTTTTTTGGGTTCATTGAGAACATGGTTGTTGTTCAATAATAAAATTAATCCTCAAAAATACAACTTGCCTAATAATTCTGCACTCCCTGTATTCCCTGTAGGGCACTCTGCCGCTGGGGAATGGAGACTGGGCTCCCAATTCCCTGCTGTATCTCCCGCTGGAGAATGGAGACTGGGCTCCCAATGACTCATACTGCCACTGGGGAATGGAGACTGGGCTCCCAATTCCCTGTAATTCACACTGCCGCTGGGGATCTGAGCCGACTGCCCAGCATCCCTGTGGCTCACCCTGCCACTGGGGAGGGAGGACGCTGCTCTCCTCTCCCTGCAAGGTACACTGCCGCTGGGGGACAGGGCCAACTATCTCTGTCCCCTGTAACTTAGCCTGCCGCTGGGGAATGGAGCTTGGGCTCCCAATTCCCTGCAATTCACTCTGCTGCTGGGGGACAGAAGCAACTATCTCTGTCCCCTGTAACTCAGCCTGCCGCTGGGGAATAGAGCTTGGCCTCCCAATTTCCTGCAATATCTCCCACTGGGGAATGGAGACTGGGCTCCCAATTCCCTGCAGGACCAGTGGAGAGACCTCGGTCCCATCTCCACCAGCCATCTGGGGTTCTTCCCAGTAACATTCTGCAATATCTGCCCAGCTGAATGGGTCTGGATCTGGGTCTCTGCTTCCCTGCTGAGCCTTCTCACTGGAGTGGAACAGATCTTGGTAGCCCTGCTCCAGCTCCATCTCTTGGGTCACTAGGTGGACCAGGTCTTGCTCAATCTCATGAGTGTCGTCCCAGTCATACCTGCTCTCCCTCCATTTCAAGAGATCACTTAACCAAGTTTGTGTAGAGCTCCCAAACTCAGGCTCTGAAAAAGCCTCCCATAACAAACCAGGACCATCAAACTCCTCTCCCTCCGGCTTGTCATGCTCAGCTGTCCAGGGCAGGTACTGTGCCCCATACCACCAGAGCGCCTGGTAGGCATCTTCTAGCCTAATCTCCTGCCATACCCGGAGCTCCAATTCCTTCAGAGCTCCAATTCCTGCAGAAGCGACTAGCCCTGTGGATGCCCTTCCTCCCCAGGAAGGGCATCCGCAGGGCTAGTCGCTTCTGCAATCGCTGGTCTTCCTTGGGGAGTCTCACCCCGCTGGTACTCCACAATGCCCAGTGCCTGGTACCAGATGCCTTTGCGAACTGCATCTCGGTCATCCATGACACCCTCATCGTACTCCACTATTGGTTCCATCCTGATGCTGTCAGGGTCACTGTACTCAGACATGCATTGCCCTCAATTTGTAAAATCCAAAGAAATGGTGTCTCCTGTAGCTGTCCTTCTGGCTGTAGGAACGATCCCACCTCTGCCACCAATTGTTACAGCACCCTC